TAGGGATAAGTTTAAAAATACTGGCGATGAGCTAGAAAATTACGGTTGAGCTAGAAAATGCTGTTGGTGAGCTAGAAAATACTGGGGATGAGCTAAAAAATACTGGGGATGAGCAAGAGGATACAGCAGGGGATGAACTAGAAAATATTAGCTTTGAGCTAGAAAATATTGTGGATGAGACAGAAAATATAGGGGATGAGCTAGAAAATATTAAGGAATATTATTGGTGATGAGTTAAAAATTAATATTGAGGATGAGCTGGAAAATATTGGGGATGAGCAAGATAATACGGGGGATGAGATGAAAAATATTGGGGATGAGCTAGAAAATGTTGGGGGTGAGATTTTAAAAAAAGTCTTTGGACCACTGGAAATTAAAAAAATAGTGGGGATAAGCTAGAAAATATTGGGGATGAGCTAGAACTTTTTAAAGTTGAGCTATAAAATACTGGGGATGGGCTATAAAATACTGAGAATGATCTAGAAGTGATTAATACTAGGGATGAGCTAGGAAATACTTGGGATGGAGCTAGAAATGATCTAGAAAATATAAGGAAGGAGCTAGAAAATACTGGAGACGATCTAGAAAATAGTGGGGAATATTAGGGATGAGCTAAAAAATATTTGGGATAATCTAGAAAATACTGGGGATAAGCTAGAAAATATTAGGGAAATCTAGAAAATACTGGGGATGAGCTTGAAAATATTAGGGATAATCTAGAAAATATTAGGGATAATCTAGAAAATATTAGGGATAATCTAGAAGAGAGAGAGAGAGAGAGAGAGAGAGAGAGAGAGAGAGAGAGAGAGAGAGAGAGAGCAGGGGGTAGAGAGAGAGAGAGAGCAGGGGGTAGAGAGAGAGAGAGCAGGGGGTGGAGAAAGAGAAACAGAGATGAATAAAAGAGAGACAAAGATGATTGGAGGGAGGGAGAGAGAGAGAGAGCATTGAACTGTTGATTTGGAATAGAGAGGCGGGGAGGGAGGGAGGGAGAATCGTAGAGAAGGGATTTGGGAGGGGGGGGGTGGAGAAAGAGAGACAGAGATGATTAAAAGATTGACAAAGATGATTGAGATCGGTGCCACATGCAAGTCCCACCTTTTTCTTCTCTCTGTTGCTTTGGCCTGTCTGTGTGTCCTATAGTCTTTTTGCGCACTATAGTACGGTCAAAAATTCATGGCGCAACTTTTCCTCTAATATTTCTAACTGGTGAATTAATGTTACCCATACTTTGAACAGCGGTTAGTATCAATTTGTCTTAAATTAATAATAATTTCCCACAACAATCGAAGCTAGATTTTAAAAACTTTTCTTCATAAATTTATACATAATACTACAAATCCCCGTCATGCGGAATATGGAAGTGTTCAGCTTTTCATACACATTCCGTGTATGTTGCCTACGTCACTACTCACCAATGACACTTTTTAGAGGCAAAACTTAAGTCCACACACAATTAACAATCCCCTGTTAAATGACAAGTGAACTTGTAAAGTTGTAAAGAATTTCTGCTCATACCGTAGGCCTAGTTTACTTAATAATCAGCCTGATGAGAACAGGGTTCGTATGTTTTTATTTTCCAAGACATGGAACATTCTTGGAATTTGGAGAAATTGGCAAAATTCTTGGAAAAACACATTTTTAACTAGCTCTATAGTAAAAATTCTTCCTAAAAGTTTAGAAGGTCTCGACTTTACGCATTTGGAGTGCACCATATTTAATGTATTGTTACATGCTGAACGAAAAAAAATTCTTTCGAAGTGGGTGGGTGGTTGGTGGGTGCACTGGTGTGGTTAGCTAATTCTTTCCTATCAAACATCTATCGTCCTGATCTCTCCTTCTTTTTTATGCTTGTTACTCTATTTTAACACCGCTAATCTTCGGCACGTATATGACCTTATTGTGTTGCAAGTGCCGTAAAACTCTTACTAAAACTAAACTTTCTTCCGAAGTGGCACGTTATTTGTGGTAAAAAAATGAAATCTGGTCTTGAAAACTCTTGGAAAAAGTCTTGAGGGAAAAAAATCCCCTGCTCAGTACGAACCCTGTGAGAGCAGCATGATGGTGAGGGGGAATCGTAGTTGGATACTGTGCTTGAAAGTGTTCTTTTTTTCATCCATAATTCTTGACTTTATCTAATAATACCGGTAAGAATGTGCAATTCTTCAATCTTCGTAGATTATCACAAACAACTCTTGTATTTAATATGAATATTTGTAACTCAGGAGTAAAAGGAGTTAAGAACAGCGTAACTCACTCCTCTATTCAGTAGCAATATACCTGTGCCAGTACATTCGGTTTGAATAATAATAAAATGTGAGGCAGTGTGGTGGAATCAGGCTCTCGTCAATTTTTGGCCATGTAGAGTTATTGGTATCATCTAAAGCTTGTTCACTTATCTTTATTTGGATGGAAAAATATCTATTTATCTTGAATAGAAGTCGAGATATTTGTGAAAGAAGGAGGTGGGGGGCACCCGTTTTCAGAGGTAAAATTACAGAGAAAATGGCCCCCAAAGATTAGTTATTTCCTTAGCTTAAGAGTCCGTGGTAACTGAAAATGTACATGTGTGTGCCTTTGATCAACGCTTTTCAGCAAAATCCACACAGAAATGAGTTCTTAAATGGGCACGAAAGGTGTTCAGCTAAAAAACAAAAATTTGATAAAAATTCACAAACCTGCGGAAAAATGCATGTTTCTTCATTTTGATTATTTTGACAAGAGCCGGATTCCACCACGCTGCCTCACAAATATAATCATCCGTGGTTGCAAAAAACTGGGGGGGAGGGAATAAAGTTTTGTGCCGGACCATTCATCATCATTGCCTTTCTCACCCTGCACCTGGGTATAGCTCGGACAAACACCTTCCACCTTTTTCTTTCCTGGGCTAGCCTCTTGGTGTTATTCCATGTCTTCCCACTTTTCTGTACATTGATTTCTGTAATTTTTCTCCAGGTTCCACGCGGTCTTCCCCTTGATCTCTTACCCTGAGGGTTCCAATCCAAAACTTTCTCTGTTATGCAGCTGTCTGACTTCCTGAGAGCATGTCCAATCCATCGCCACCGCCTTCTTCCTACCTCATCTCTGACTGGGATCTGTCTTGTTTTTCTTAACACTTCCATTATATTGGTGACCCTGTCTGTCCATCTGATACACAGTAACTTTCTTAGACACCTGTTCAAGAAAACCTGGATCCTCTTTATGCAAGTCTGTAATGCGTTCCATGTCTCACATCCATACAACAGGACCCACTTCACATTTGAATTGAAAATCCTCAGCTTTGTTCGAAGTGAGATATCTCTGGTCTTCCAAATCCTATCCAAAGATATGAAAGCAGCCTGTGTCTTTCCAAAGCGGGACTTTATTTCAGCACCTGTTCCATTAATTGCACAAAATGTTCTCAAAACATGAGTTCCAGAAGCATAGACTTGCAATTAGAAAAAGTAGGACGGACTTGCTTTTAAAAGTGCTATATAATTGTCCCATCTCATAGGATGTAAGCTTTTTAAAATCTGTAGAAACCATCGACTGGGATTTTTTATTAGTAGTCATTAAGGAATTTTCTATAATAAAAAAAACCCAGCTCACAGGAGTTTAAAAAATATTTATCTGTTGAGACAAACTGATATAAAAGTCATTGAGCGAAAGATGGAGAGTCTTCCATAGTTTAGAAAATATTTGACAATAAATTGTGCCACAAACGTTTGCCAGCACTATAAATGAGTGTTATCGTGACATAGTACATTAACATAGTGCTCCTTTTTACTCCAACAAATGTGTGTGTGCCTGGAGAAAGGTCCCTTGTCGTCAGATCTGTTTTTGAGCAGTTGAAGATGAAAAGGCCAAAAAAGTCGTACCTGATAAAAAAAATTTGGTTTCATTAAAAACATGTTTTTAACCACTTTTTAAAAACATTGAAAGGATTTTAAAAAAAAATTCTAGTCTAAATATTTTTTTAAAAAATATTTTACTAAACATGCTGTACTTCACCGAAGGTTAAAAGTGTGAGGCAGCGTGGTGGAATCAGGCTCTCGTCAATTTTTGGACATGTTGAATTATTGGTATCATCTTAAAGCTTGTTCACTTGTCTTTATTTGGATGAAAAAAATATCCATTTATCTTGAATACAATTCGAGATATTTGAGAAAGAAAGAGGTGTGGGTCACCTGTTTTCAGAGGAAAAACTAGTGAGCAAATAGCCGCCAAAGATAAGTTATTTCCTTAGCTTAAGAGTCCGTTAACAATTCACACAGAAATTAGTTTTTTGATGGGCATGAAAGGTGTTGAGCCAAAAACCAAAAATTCAATAAAAATTCACAAACCTGCGGGAAAACGCGAGTTTTTTCATTTTGATTATTTTGACGAGAGCCGGATTCCACCACGCTGCCACACAAATGTGCTTGCAATTGGGTCAGCAAACTATAGATAAAGCCATTTGAGGCACGACGCATTTTTTAACATACGGAGTTGGTGGTATCATCTTAAGTCTTAAGGTCGGTCCATTTTACTTGTTTTGGGTGAAAATAATATCCATCTAAGTAGAATAGAAGTCGAGATGTGTGTGATTGAAGGAGGTGAGAGCCATCTGGTTTCAGAGTTAAAATTGGCGAGAAAATGACCGCCAAAGTTGAGTTCAGCTTTTGAAAAATCCTCACATTTCAGTGAGGTACAATCATTAGTATCATGACCATGGTGACAACACACACATAGGCCCCTACACTGCGACTCAAGTGGCATCGGTAGCCTAGTGGTTAGGCTACCGGACTCGTAATCGTGAGATTGCAGGCTTGCGGGTTTGAGCTCGGTCCGACGTTGTGTCCTGGGGAAAGACACTTTACCCGAATTTCCCATTTGGCTCGGTCCTTTCGGAGATAGACGTTAAACTAGGAGGCCCCGCCTCTTAAATAACCTAATAGTGTTGATAGGGGCGTTAAACCTATACCATTTCACCATATTCACTGTGGTTCAGTCGTCGTGACTCCAGAGACAAACCAGACGTGGAGGCCATTTTCAAAACTCTTTATTGTGGCTCTTCAAACTGCAGGTTCCCACAAATCAAAAGCACAATGTACATTGGAGGGACATTTTCATACACATTTAGTGATATATATATATACGATTCATGTACAAAGTTTCTGGGAAGGCACACAACAATTCGATATTCTATTTATGAGTACATGTGTACATTATCCCATGGATTTTTTTTTTCAGTAACGGTTGAAGAAATGAGCTATCATAAAATACCAACATAAATTTTTTAATATTGCTGATCCTAAGTTCAGTGGAAATCAAAGAATACAACTTGCAGACGATAGATTTTTGGTATCAAGACAGGGACGATATTATTATTATTATTATGTGAGCAGAAGTCAGTAAAGGCAATTTCAACAGCTCCGAATTATGACATTTTTCTGATACTCAGTACCAGCTTCTAAAAAAAAACACCAAATAAGTTTTCTCTCCATCAACTGAGAGCTCTAAATTAATCATTTCTAGACTTTTCCAGTTTCTGTCTTCCCCATGCAATAGATATAATAAATCATAATGAGGGGTTGGGCCCATAAGCAAAATCATCCACATTTTCACAACTCTGTGACCAGCTATCCTGTGCTGGACAACCCCGTCAGGACTACAGCTGCCATTCATGCTTTTTCAGAGAAATTAATAAGTCCATCACCGAGATCTTGGAATAATACTAAATTTTTAAGTACAAGTAAGTACAATTAAGTGCTGGACAAACAAAGAACAGCTGTGTCTGCTTTATGAAAATCTGAAGAACACAGACAAGATTCCGAAAGTTCAACAGATTTGTTTAAATTTAAAAGCATTATTCACAGCCAGTAATTTTGTAGTCGGTCTAGAAGAGAGTCCTGGCAGGAGAAGCGTTTGCCTATCTCCGTGGTCATTTAGGAGTTTATTAGAAAAAGGAGAATGTTTCCTTGGAAGGTTCCGAGACAATAAATATAGCAACCCCTCACCTCCAGTGGACTAAAAGTAAAGAACCACTACATGATATGTACAAAGGCCAAATACTGAAGTAGACATGGAAATTCTTCTATGAGTACAAGGATGTTCTGTGTTCGATGCTGTGGCCCATCCGTTTGATGAGGAACTGTCACACGTGGGCCTACAAGGATGATGATGGGAAAATGTCACCAGCTGGAGAAACAAAAGGAAATCTTTCAGATTACATGCATCAGTTATGTGTTTGGGAAGGCAAGAGTGATGGTTATAGAAAGAAATTAGGGTAAGAAAGGAAAAATAGAATTTAACGGATAAATAAAGTGATAAAATGAAAAAAGAGATTCATAAAGGGGGTGAAAAGAAGAGATAAATGGTGTAAAATCTGTAGGGGAGACATTATTACAAAGAGTTCAATTAGAATCTACACATATTTTTACAAAGAATTTCAATAAGTGATATATATGACATAAATATCAACTACCTCACTGACCCCCAGAAATACAGAAAGATGTTAGGGACCTCCTTGCCTGTACCTTTTTCCACGTTTCCTTACATTATCATTTTGGAACAGACCAAAACAAATTGCAGGGCATAACGTAACAAAACCAGACAGCAAATCGCTACCTCAGAATTACCAAGTTCTATATATCTGCTCAGTACCTAAAGTTTTGAGAAATTTAATGTAAAAAAATTTGAGTTTCACAACATGCCAAACTTTTTTTCAATAAAATTCTTTGAATATCTTGATGAAGACTCTGAATATTCTAGCGAATTTGATAGAGCAGATAGAACATTTAGTTTCGGACCTCATTATTCTAGTAACTAAAAATGGCCAAAACATATCACTTTGCAATATAAAGGTAGTGAAATGTTTTTATTCCCCCATTAAAAGCATTTTTAGGCCTACCTGGGTACATACACAGTTTAGGAGGTCAGATGTTTTAAATCTATACCTTCAAGAATCAACTCAGACAGCTTTGAGAAGATCCAAGCAAAGCGACACTGATTGTGTTTCAAGTGCCCTAAAACTCTTACTATCAAAAAGAGAATTGGATGTAACAAGAAGTTAACTCTGAAGGTCATGTAAATGCCGAAGACTAGAAGTGTTATAATAAAGTGACAAACACAAAAGAGAAAAGGGAGAGATAAAGACAACAGATGTTTGATGGGATTGAAGGAGCAAATTAAACCACACCAGAGCAACCACCCACTGTTCCATTCTCTACATGTGTGCATTCTAAAAGAATACAGTATTTTTCAGAAGCTATTGTCAACAGATGAACCATTGAGACTGCCATGCCGAACAAAAATGTGTGTGTGAGGTGTTGTCAAGTTGTTTTTAGATTATTCATGCATATTTAACTTTCTTTTTCTTTTCTTAAATGATTGTTAAGCAGTCTTTCTCTACAGAAGTACACCTAGTTTAGGCAGTCTCTTTTTCTACATCAATCACTGTACCTATCAGTTCAAGCAGTCTCCTGCTCAACAGGGGGCACCGCCGCATCCGCCAGGGCTCCGTCCTTCCTCTCCGTGGTTGGCGTCTGTTCGTCGTCGCCGGCCGCGACCATCACGTTGCCCTCGGCGTTTTCCCGCATCTTGCGCGTGTGTTCGATGAGGCTGATGCAGACGAAGACCCAGTTGTAGAGCTGCTGGGCCGGGATGGAGCCGTACTTGGCCACCTCGCCGTGAGGCACGTCTGGAGAGTGGTGCGAGAGGAAGAAAAAATAAAATAAAACAGTGTACATCATCATAGACTGCTTGGTATAGAATCAAAGAAATATTCTTTACATAAATATATAAATATACATATATATATATATAGATAGATATATATATTATATATACATCTCTCTCTATATATACATAACATATACACATATTAATGTTTTAATTCCACCATCAATATAATTTAGGAGGAAAGAAATAGAACCAGGAGTAACATAGCACAATAATGACAAATTACAGAAAGACTTTGTATTTCGTTTAATTTTTGTTGTTGTTGTTGTTGTTGTAAATGTTTGTTGAAGAAAATTTAACAAAAAACGTCAGTAAGAAAATGTGGACATTGACAACTTAAACCCCACGACATAATACAGGCGGAACGGTTCAAAGCGGCCATCCATTGTCGAGGACAGAAGTGTTTATCTTGGACATAATAACACGCAGTCACCTCCTTTCCTGCTCTCTAGCAATATTCTGTTGTCTGCTTTCATTTCCACTTTCTGCCCCCACCCCCTCACCCCCTTTGCCCCCTCCTCTGGGCTCCTGACTCTTTCTGCAGCCTTTCTACTGCTAGATCTACTCCTTGGCTCCTCCTTACTGCTGTCTTTCGGCCACACCCCTGATCTTCTGGTAGGAAAGATCTACACCTAGCCTTCTCGGAGAAGGGCGAAAAATCTCGGAGGGCCCGTGTGCAAGTTGCGCACATTAAAGATCCCTTGGTAGTCTAAAATCGATAAGAGTAGGCTTCGGCCGCCACCCCGGCAAAATTCAAAATTTCCTACCAACTGAAACTATTAGGTGTGTCCCGCGCGCTCATACGACCTTATGCAGTTGCGAAACACTTTACAAAAACAAGCAAAAACAAGTGGGAAATGGTCGTCTGGCTGTCTTGGACACGTAAGGGCACGTTTGACTGTAATTACAAATAACACTGTTCTATGAGAAATGTCAAAATGCAAGAAATGCTATTAATACTACCTGGTTAATACTACCTGATTTTTTAGAACATGAATAATATAATTAATTGATTACAAATTTGAAAACGTCAGCAGAGTTTCGAAATATTCTGGCATCTATTTTAAAACAAGATAAAATGCTCATCTTTACCTAAGGACACTTGGCAGGAGACATAGGTCTACTATTTTGTATCTGAAACTCCCTACACAAGATTTTCAAAATACAGGACAAATTAATCAGTCCTACCCCCCCCTCCCCCGCCCCCTTTTCCCTACTTTATTCTTAAGCTCAAAGCATACAAAAAGCAATGCAGAATACATAATACATAAATATCGAAATACATTGAAGTTTATTAGTTCTTTGATCCAGGGGCTTTCCCTAAAAAGAACCTCCAAAAACCTGGGCAACTCTTGACACAATCAGAGGAACAGACAGAGTCTAGCACTCTATAGTTACTTAAGAGAAATATAAGCAAGGTCGGTGATTCTATAGAATTTTCCTGATTTCACACACACACACACACACACACACACACACACACACACACACACACAC